CGTTTTGTTCGCTCTCTCCAGACGCAAGACTATCGTTTTTCGACGACATCTGCAGTGTAACATGTAGATTATGGCCAATTTTTTCTATATCTTCGTTTCTCTGATTATACTGTTTCATGTGATACACTTCTCCGAGTACATTGTTTGTCAAACACTCACCCCTGCAGCTTTCAATAGCGGGGCTTGAAAAATTCGACTGGCACATACGCTTCTGTGTGCGTGTGTTTTTCAATGTGAAGCATTTCTTAGAGCACTGCAGCCACTTTGAGCATTTCAGTCTATCTATCTATCTATCTATCTATCTATCTATCTATCTATCTATCTATCTATCTATCTATCTACCCGCTTATGTCTCGGTGCTCTCGTAATCGCCTCCTTAACATGGGTCGACCGAAATTTGTATAGGAGAGTATGAGGGTTTCACAAAATGTCTGCTTGGTCATGGCACGAAGAACGTAAAAATTCCATTGCGTACGTCATTAAACCTTTTCGTCTCAACACATGTCGCACTTACCCCTATACCACGGGTTACTGTATGATGGTATAAGCCACAAGTGTAGACATTTATTATCTACATAGCAACGGCGAGAACACAGGTTGGTAACTGAAATGCGAGAATGTTGAAAAGGGCTTACATCAGCAACGTCGAGCCAACAATGCAAATACTGAATCTGAGCAGGAATTACAACACAACACTGTGCTTGGCAGTCATGTATTCCCCCGCAGAGTCACCACGCAAGATCTTGAAAATTCTTTGGGAAAAAAAGACACTATTCAGGGATGATAAGGGTGAAGCATCAATTGTAGTCGGAGTGTTGGTTATTTATTTTATAAAGATTACACGTCTACTTCTATGATACAGGCTAAACGTCGCTTTAACGTAAATCGTATACATACTTGCTATGAATTGAATTTGGTCTACAAGCACTAGTAAGGGACATCGTTCTTGCAAGCACAAGCGCTACATACCTGCCTACAGCTTGGGGTGTTCGTAATACCAATGTTGCTGTTGGATTCGCTATACGCAAAAGTAACCAAAAGATTTAACGAAACATATGCGACTGTCAAACAAGGGCGCACAAAACTTGTGCATATCTTTATCTCCATTTCGTAATGTTTCACTCAAGAAAATTATGCGTTCTCGGCCTCTATAGCTCCCACATGATTACAGGAAATTGAGCCTCGCTTAACTGGGTGTGCGTAGTGAGGGGTACGGTTATCCTTCCTTTTAGGTTGTTTCTCTGTAGGGTTACTCTTATTGAAGCATGCTGCTTGTTCTTTCTTCTTCTTCTTGACTCGCTGCCTGCACCTGGTTTTCTTACTACAACAAAACCTGACTTGTCTAACCAACGCTATTTCTTTATATACGATACAACGCTGGCTCCTCTTCTAGTGTTGCAACGTGGTTTAGACGGCTCTTACATGGACCCCGTGCCGGATGGCGTGGCGAACGGTGCGGCCACCTGCGGTTGTTGCCAGGCAACGGCGCAGCTCACAACGTGGCCATCCGCATGAAAGAAATCCCAAGAGTACAGCCGATGTGGCTCTTGCTGCACAATTTACACAACAATCAACTTCCTTCCACATGCTTAGGATAACATCCATGTCCACGTTAAGTGGGATCTGCCGATTGCCTTTTTAGATACGTAGCAGCTATTTGACTCACGTGTGTAACGCCGTACGTACAATCAGCGTCAAATGAAAACCGAACAGCAGCAAGCCTTCGTGATTGTACAGTGCGTTCCGTCCAGCTATTACCACCGACAGCCACGCGTATATGCGCTGAGCTGCCGAACAGCATGCGCACGCCTGTCAACGCTGATAGCTAGACGGCATGCAGTACTACACCGTCGTGAAGGCTTGCCGCTGTTCGGGTTTCATTGGACGCTGATAGTGCGTGCGTCTGTGCGAACGCACCTCAACGCATTCTCCTTTCCGCGGGTGTTGTAGCTGTGCCAAGTAGGTCACGCTGCAGCTGCGCGTTGACGTCATGCTCCTCTCGCAGTGCGCGCCGACGTCACTCTCTTTCTCGTATGCTGCACGCTCGAAGCAGCAACCACCGCTTCCGCCTCATTCTTTCGCCCGCAACACCTGCCGCTACGGCCACTCGCTACACCACCGGCTCGTCGGTTCACGCGCAGTAAACTTGACGCGTGCCTAGCGTGCGCATTGGAACATGTCTGTACGTGTCACAAGACCCACACCAGCCCTCACTTGAAACTAGTCTTCCAGCGTTCACCGCGGCACCCGCGTTAGCGCCATTCAACCCGTGACGCAACCCGTGCGCAACGCTGATGCTTTGCACCCTATCACGGTTCGCTTTGGGAATATGGTGGGGATTTTTTTTTCAGGTGCGAAGCAGCTTATGACGAAGCCACGGTGTAAGATAGAAGCACTTTAGGTGGGGACAATTCTTGGCTTTCTCATGGGACACGATGGACCAGATAAAGTAACACAGACGCGCATACACTGTGTTCGTACCGAGCAATCGAGTGAACGCCACATTTTAAGCTTGAAATTTGGTGTCATTGCTTTTTTTAAATAAAAAAAGAAATCCTTCATTCTTGGGCGATGAAGGCCGCAAATACGCATCTGCATTTTTTCTCATTTCGCTCTTCATGACATGAATGTAGAAAAGTTGATAAGCATATTCAGGAAAACTACGTGGCTGATGGTTTGGCACGCATCGTAGTTAGACTGAATCTCTGCGTGACAGTAATGCAACAAAGGATCGGTGATTAGATGAGACAGAGGTATTTTTGTCAAGCGAATAATGTTCGATACTTCCGTCAATCAATAACAACTCCATGAAAGCGATCAAGGTTATGACGTTTTGCTTTAAAGCATACGACATAAGTATGAGACACGCCGTTCCGATTAATTTTTTTATCATATGGAGTCTTTAAAAGCGAGTTCCAATTAAACCATACTATTAAGTATGTATAAATTTCGCCCAAAGTTAATATGCCACACGGTTACTCAAATTTCATTACCGTCAATTAATTCCATTTCCTTGTCTTTTCACGAGACCATTGAAGTACCGAATCACCAGAATTTACTAGAAAAATGTTTCGTTGTACTGGGATCATGACCATACAAAAGAAGATTACGTCAGGCACAATCAAAGCTCATCTGATAAATAAAAACGCCACAGTTAGACAGCTAACAACAATGGAAATCTTCATTTACCACTGTATCGCGAAAACGCTGCATTCGCACAATATTTAATACTCTTCATGTTTGAGAAGACACCAGTGCACTTTACGATGTGTTTCACCTAAAGCTTGGCACCTACACCGACATGATCCTGGCGAATTGAGGGTACGAGGACAATACAGAGCAGTCTTCACAAGTGCCTCAACTGATCCTATTGAAGTGCATAAACAGCGGAGAAAGATCAAACGTGTCTCTAGATCGTGCTAGGCAAACGTACTAACTGTTGAGCTTGCTCTAACTGAGTGGGACAAACCACCCTTTGAGGACGATCATGAGATACGCGCACTGCTAGCATATGCTAGCCTTATGTTGCTAGCAAACCACACAGGGAGCAATCCACACTAGGCGCGCTTCTACGAGAGGCCACCATGCGGCAAATACACTCGATCTTAGAGCAAATACTTATGCGTTCGTTTCTTGCGTGTTTATTTCTCTTCGAGCAGCACGCTAGGAGATTCTTGCTGTGACAGCTGTTAATTCGCGCTCTTTCTGCATATTTTTTGCGTGCTTTGCACTTGAGGTGCGTGCTGCAAGTTTCCAGCGGCTAGCCGTTGTCCGCATAGCATTACAATCTGTTGCTGCAGCATTCATTCCTTCATGCTTATGAAGGAAAAATGCGGAGTAAATGCTTACCTGCTTCTCTGAAGACACGTTTCACCCTCGTGTTATACTGATCATTAGACATAGGGATCAGACACGGTTTTTTTTTCGCTGTCTCGCTCTTAACATCGAATGACACCCGCTGCAATCAAAAACTAGCAGTTGCTCCGTGTACCAATATACCCACGTTTATTAGGATCATGCACCGGCTGATGGATGTTTGATGCACCCCAGAGGATCTCCCAAAGCAAGCTAATAATTCGAGCAAAAGCGTCTGATGTGCCCGACTGGTTTCTCGGCGGTTCAGTATTTTTGTCTATATGGCCAGAAGCCACATGTGTGCTATTTACTGCTTCCGACAAGAAACAATGAATGTTCACTACAGCAAGCACCATTGAAATGACATGGGAAAGGTGTTATTTCTATATGCTAAATTTGACAACAAGCAATTCTGATCTGCCACCACAAACCTCTATGGCACTTCGAGATTCCGAATGCGTTGAAGGTGCTTTCAATTTGTTTCCGCTATTGCTTCATCATCACCCGAGCGATGGTACATGACGTTGACCAGGAGAATTGCTCGTGCAGACAACGTTAAGCAGTCTGCGGAAACGTGAGGTACATTGGCATCGTTTATCATCACATCCTCGCTCGCTTGGTTAAGAAGGTGATGTCCTTAATAACAGTCTACTCCTGCAGAAACTCTCCTTCAAAAATAACGTGACCGGATCAATCGTGAGGACAGGGAGGCTAGCGACGAATGAATATAATTGAACCTGAACTCTATAAGCAATTAAAAGAGTGGAGTAAAGATGCTGCAGAAGCAATCTAAGTTTGTGAGTTACGCCAGGGCAAAATGACTCACTAATCTGCGTTCCATTTTGCTCATCATTATAGAAAAGTTGGCGCCTGTGCGCATTAAAACATATATATACTAGCAGCAAATCTTCGACGTTAACTGACATTCCAAATTTTGGTTGTTCATCTACGTATCAATATGTTGTATGCTTTTTACAAAGAGTCATGCAGGACACCTTTGAAAAAAAAAGTGCACATTGACAAAAACAAAAGACTGCGCACAGGTGCGCACTTCAAACAATTACCAAAGGCAATCACTTGCATAAAATCATTTGCTAGCGCATTGTTCAAATAAGAATATAAAGTCATGCGGTGCAAAACTTTAACGTGGCGCTGCTACTCAGCAGAGCAAATATGCTATGTTACCAGTGCATATTTGTAGCTTTTTTTCTGCTTTGCATTCTGCCAACGTTGCAGCTAGGAGGTCCATCATATGCTGTAGCAAGGGGCGGGAAAAGACCTGCATGTGGTCACATCCCAAAAACACTAAGAACTCGCGCTCCTAAACGTCCAGGTACGTGCTATTTTGTTGATTATTTGTTGTCTAGTAATGTCTACATCCCGCTTTTGTCGTTGTATCGCCACACATGGCCTGCAGTATATATTCTAAGAGATTCAGCGATGAAGATGTCCGAAAAGCTCCAAGGTTTCAAAAATAACAGCTATTTTATATGTGACTTGTTCATGTTCATTTTTGTTGTTGTTGTTCACATAATTCTCTTCATAAAAACCCCAGGAATAAGGTTGACAGTACTGCTAAATAGTGCACAACTAGGTAAGTAATAAATAACCTAAACCCAAAGCCGTTACGCCCACAATAAAGTGGTCCCCCGCCACGAATTAGCCACTACAGTACTCGGTAGCTCACCCATATTGCGCTGTTTGGATACAAGTGGCTGCAGTCTAATTGTAGTAAAGGTTAATTGCTCTAGATTGGTTTACTCTGCGATATCAACGCACCTCAATAAACGCCCAATGGTAGAAATTTTGTAAACCCTCCACGTCCGCGTGCCTGGTAGGCCTATCGTGTTTAAAACCGCCATATTAAATTGATTGACGTGCAATTGTTGGCATTGTGTTCAAAGTGTTTTGCTAAGATTAGTTCTTATGATAGTAGTATGAAATGTTAAAAATACTGCGGGAAGTGATGTCACCCATTGAAACATATACACAGTAACTTCGCAAATGACCCTATCTTTAAATACAAAAGTTTTTTGGGAAGACCACCGGGTGCTAAATAATTATGAAATAGGTTTGATGCTTTATAAATATCTAGAGAATTACACTTCAAGAATGCTCTTGAATCATTTATTTCTCAACTCAATATTTTACTTTTCAAACAAAAGAAGAACAGGCACATTCTCGTGTAGAAATACAGAAAAATTAGGGTCTCCATTTCGAAGGCCTACTAAGTTACACGTAGTCGAGCTCTTAAGTCGTTGCAAACACCAATGAGTAATCGGTCGCATGCGTTACCACATATGCCCATGATGCAGAACTAAACAGCTAACTTCTGAATTTCGCAGCTCATCTATCTATCTATCTATCTATTTATCTATCTATCTATCTATCTATCTATCTATCTACTTATCTATCTATCTATCTATCTATCTATCTATCTATCTATCTATCTATCTATCTATATATCTATCTATCTATCTCTCTATCTATCTATCTATCTATCTATCTATCTATCTATCTATCTATCTATCTATCTATCTATCAAGCCAGCTACGACGTTTAGCTCTCCTGGCCGCTTCGATGATGGAATCTAAACCAAAATAAAGATGGCGTAACATGATTGCAAAGACGTGTATATTTGACCAGTCCTAACATGAAAATCATGACATTTAAAACATCAATGCCATAATTTACATGTTATAGTCTTGCTTCTCCTGCAGCGGTTTCGTTCACACGACATATTGCAAAACTGGTATGGTATGACATGACTGTACGCTGAACATAAACGGCAGGCCCTAACGTGGAGATCATGACATGCATGTCATGTAAGCCATTACTTTACGCCACGTTTTCGGTGCGCTCGTGACATTTTTGCTAGCTTCACATATACTAAATTTGGTGTTATGTGACGTGAATGAATGACGTAGGTATATGACTGGTGCAAACTTGATAAGCATGACATGCGTGTCATGTAAGAACATGGCTACATACCGTGCTTATGATGTGTTTGCAGCCGTTCCGCTAGCTTAACATATACTAAATTTGATATTACGTGTCGTGAATGAATGATGCGTATATGAATGGTGGAAATATGATAATTATGACATGCGTGTTATGTAAGAACATGACTACATACTACACTTATGGCATGCTTGCGGCCGTTTCACAAGATTCACATATACTGAGTTAGATATTACGTGCCGTGAATGGACGACGAAGGTAAGTGAGACGTTTGAATATTATAATCCTGATATGCGAGTTATGCAAAGCATGACTGCATGCAATGCCCTTAGCCCACTCATGGCCGTTTCACCAGCTTCACATATACCAACGTGACGCTAACGAACAACGAAGCTAGATGACAAGTCTAAACATGATCATGACATGTGTGTCACGTAAAATATTACTACATGCTCGCCAGTAGTTCACCTTTTTCTGATGTTCGCCTTTTTTTGAAGATGCATCTCAGGCTATGGTCCGAGTAATTTCTTTAATGTGAAAAGCCATCTGTCCAAACTTGCTGCTTCGTTCCTTGGTTTTTCTCTTTCATTCACGTATTTGGCGCACCGTAAAAGAATATGGTGAACATTTTCTTCTGCATGACCACAAAGGCATTCCGGGGAGTTGGATCGATCTGTTTAGTGCAGAAAGCTGTTTGTGTATGCTACTGCCAGTCGAAGTCTGTGGAAAAATGTCTGTTAATGTCGTGAGAGATCTGTCTCTATTGAAAACTTTCTGTATGGATCAACTTCATAAATGTTGATTTCTTTGATTACTGTTGTGCGGCGAGCAATAAACAGGAACACATGCGAAACAGCGAAACGACAAACCCTCAATTACAGTTTCGTCACTACTGCAATTTTTCTCAGCACTCGAGGAAACGTACTTCTTTCCGTAATAGGTCAAGAGAGAGGAAAGTGATACCATCTTGTCTTTTGTAGATATCCAAGGCTACTCGAAGTTTGCGTGTTATCCTGGCATTTTACCCACAGGTTTTCGGCAAGGATGGGGCGTGAACTTCGGGAATACTTCGAAATTCACAAAATAGATGCAAATTGCGCCAGTTAGATCCGTCTGGTCCAGTCACGGAAAGAAATTTGTTTTCTTGGGATGTGAGTTCAAATGTGCTATTGACGAAAGTGGTAGTAAGGGCGGATCACTTTGCTGCTTCTGTGACGTCACATGAGTTCCTATTTACTATTCGCAGAAAAATAACAATATAACTTGTGAGCATTGTTTAGGTATGTCTGTTTTGTTTTTTGTTTTTTCGTTTTCTGGTCTTAGTGTGCTGTCTTCATGACCGGCATATCCCAACTCGCCTGGCTAAGATTAGTGACAAGTGGTAAATCATAGCATGATTGATATGACATGTATATCGAATATGTCATCCTTTAAATGACACTGCCTTGTTGCCCTGAAGGCCGTTTCAATATTTTGATATATACCGGAATTTCTACGGCAACACATGAGTTCTTGGCACACACGAATGACAGATCACACCATGACAATCATGACATGGTGACATGCATGTCATGATTTCCACAGCACTACTCTGGTCTTATAGCAACGGTATCGTAAACTTCATCTACACTATAGTTGGCAGGATATGACATGATATTAACTAATGAAAAGCCTAATAAACACGTCGTAGCTGAACAATTATGTCATTTGTGTTGTATGTGCATCATATAGCCTCATAACCAAGAATTAGTGCTCCTACAATTGTTTAGTTAACTTGATATACAAGAAATGTTTATGTCGAATGAATAGGAACAACATTAATTGCTGGTCATGTATGTTACATTCCTATCGGTATACTTTATAAGACATGGTATATTCTGGAATATACATGTATTCAATACTAACGTGCGATGATGAACATGCCATTGATTGATTGATATGTGAGGTTTAACGTTCCGAAACCGCCATATGATTATGAGAGACGCCGTAGTTGAGGGCTCCGAAAATTTCGACCACCTCGGGTTCTTTAACCTGCACCCAAATCTGAGCACACGGGCCTAAAACATTTCCGCCTCCATCGGAAATGCAGCCGCCAAAGCCGGGATCTCAACCCGCGACCTGCGGGTCAGCAGACGAGTACATTAGCCACTAGGCCACCGCGGCGGAGCATAAACATATAATTACATCGATGTCTTGGTTTGTCTCGGTGAAATAAAATGAGCTGTGTGCTGTTATTTTTTTCACCAACTCTCAGGTTGCTACAGTAAGGGGGATCTGCCAGATCTTGATAAATTTTTTTTTAATGATTTTAAACTTCCTGTTGATTGAAGAGGCATGGCATTTTATTATGTAAACACGCCATTTAAACGGCTCTGCTAAAGCACTTTTTACTGACTTTTTTACCCTAATGGCTTTATTCGAGGAAACAACCATCTGCTTACATACCAACATAATTTTTTACAGGCCCTCCTCCTGCTATGAAAAATTTTGGATGATGCCACTACTTTTTCCAAGGCATTCACAGCGTAAGGTCACGCCATAAACTTGAAAAACCCAGTTCATAAATAAATACCAACGCGTTTTTTTTTTCAGTATGTCTCCGGATGCTGTATTAAGGCTTTGTCAGCTAACCGGAGAAAAACATGGCAGAATCAATGTGCCGAGAAATCTTGAGGATGCTTGAGCTTTCCCAGCAAGAATGGAGCCTCGTCAACATCATCTTCCGAATCCGTAGCATAGCTTCGCTTCACTTTTCGGTAGACATTTCAAACATGCCACAAGGAAACGAACATTTGTGCTTGTAACACTTACTTTCAAACAATTTCAAAACGGCTAGATAAGAACTGCAGATAAGTGACCATGACGCGTCCGTAAGGTACCACGTGCACCTGACAAGCAGTATACGCGTACTTCGTGGATTTTACTGCTGATGGAATGATTAAGAATGGTGATGATTAAGAATGTGATGGTGATGATTAAGAATGATTAAGAATGTGATGATTAAGAATAGAGCTTTGTAGTGGGCGAGCTTATGAACACCCTTCTGTTGCGCAATTCGCATGTACTGGTTCTCGGTGCGACTATACATGTCGCCAAGCAATATACACGCTGCAGGAAACTCGTTCCACTACATGACAATCAGAGGGTTTTGTTGTTCTTGTGTTTTTTTTTCTTTCAAAGATGTTACAAGTCGTGGCCAGGTTTACAGTTACAACAGTTATCTGCCACGCAGGAGGCAAGAGCTTGATTTGCGTTGGAAAACGATTTGTATATTATGTATTTATTTCCATTTTCATGAACTTCTTGCTCATGGACAAGGTGATAATGTTTTTTTTCTAAACCAATGAAGCTGATACTGACACCTAAACCAACACTGAAATTTATACAAAAGCAACTCATTGACGCTGTCGCGTTAATAAACAGCTTTGAATCATGGTGCGAATATGGCAAGTATGGTATTTATCTCAAATGAACTATTTGCAGTTTTTTCTATAGTGACTTGGCTCTGCATGAAGCAGATAACTTTATTATTCACTACGATTTCTGCTAAAAAAAGCAGAGACATTGGACAACGCATCATTACATATGGGTTTCCATTGCAAAAGCGTATATATATATAATTCATGCTGCTTGTTTCTCAAACATATTGTTTGATTCTTGCGTATGTATATTTTAATTTGTTCAGGTTAATATAATATTCTATACCGTAAATACAAATGAGTGCTTCCTAGAAGCTGCGTTCATGCTTTTCGTACGAAGGCTTAGCCACTACTAGGTCTGAAAACTTGCGGAAGTGCAACATTGTCTCAAGACCAAATTCGAAAACAGCACCTGAAACACTCGCATTATAGCATCTTTTTATGCATAGCGTCGTGATGTATAGAAGAGTGACCAAGCGAGAAACAATTTGTACCTCATGTAATGCTCACTGCATGGTCACTGGTGGTTGCAAATATTGTAATATAAAAAAACACAAGAGAAATACCCGAGTGATTGTATGCTTCACACAATGCTTTTAGTGCTAGAGTGTTCTCGCTATATTCGCACTACCATAATGTCTATAATAACAGCGATGGCAATGTGGTTAAAACATCAGCCTCGCAGGCAAGAGGTCCATGGATCGAATCCCGGTGCCTGGCTGCTCCCAACAGGATTTTCAAAAAAGTTCACGTGGTGATGAAACTGCATCAAGAGGCCTGGGGAGCGGCCTCGCCGGTGACCACCACCGGTAACGCACTCCCTCACCAGAAAAAGATTGACCACCCTGGTGCTGTATCTGGCCACTACCTCCCACATGCAAACGTCAATTAACTCCCGGCCCTCAGTCCTCAGCGGCTGCGAAGCAGCTGACCATGGTGGTGGTCAGATCTGCAACGCAGCAGAGGGTGCTGAGAATCTCTGGATCCAGACAGGCCGTCATTGGAACCTGACCTTGCAACGTTAAACGCTAGAACCTTATCTAGCGAAGCAAGTCTGGCTGTACTATTCGAGGAGCTAGAGAGCATTAAATGGGATGGAATAGAACTCAGTGAGGTTAGGAGGACAGATGAGGCCTATACAGTGCTACATAACGGGCACGTCGTTTGCTATCGGGGCTTGGCTGACAGAAGAGAACTGGTAGTGGGGTTCCTTATCCACGGAAACATAGCAGGAAACATAGAGGAATAATATAGCATTAATGAAAGGGTGGTTGGTATCATAAATAAACTCAATAGGAGGTAGAAGATGAAGGTGGTACAGGCTTATGCGCCTACGTCCAGCCACGATGACGCATCAATTGAAAGCTTCTATGAAGACGTGGAATCAGCAATGAGTTATGTAAAAACACAGTATACTGTACTGATGGGGGAAATCAATGCCAAAAAAGGGTAGAGCAGGCTGGAGACCAGGCAGTAGGAGATTATGGCATGGCTAATAGAAATGTAAGATGGAATGTAATAATAAATTCGCAGAACGCAATAATTCACGGATCTTGAATACCTTCTACTGAGACGGAGAGAACCTTAAGTGGACGTAGAGGAGCCCTAATGGTGAAAATAAGAACGAAATAGACCACATACTGCGTGCGCACCCGGGCATCGTGCAAGATTTCGAAGTGCTTCACAAGGTACGATGCAGTGACCATAGAATGGTATGGTCCTGAATTCGCCCAGACTTGAAGAAGGGACGACAAAAACTGATACGCAACAAAAAATCAATGAGCTAGCACTGAGTGGGAAAGTACAGGAATTCAGTCTCACTTCAGAACAGGTAGTAGGCTCTTATCGAAGAAAACAGCCTTAGCATTACCGTAATGAATTATAATCCGACGAGTATCATATCGGAGTGTGCAGTAGAAGTTGGAGGTACTGTAGTGAGACAGGACACTGGCAAGCTGTCCTATGAAACAACGAATTTCATTAGGAGGCATCAATGTATGAAAGCCTCAAGTACAACAGTCAAAATAGAGTTGGTAGAGCTTTCGAAGTTGATTAGTAAGCGTAAGGTATCTGATGCAAAAAGGTGTAACATGTAGAGCATATAACACGCTCTGAAGAATGGGGGTAGCGTCAAAGCAGTGAAGAGAAAACTTGGGATAGGCGAAAACCAGATGTATGCACTAAGGAAAAAACAAGGCAAAGTAACAACCAATAAGGATAAGATAGTAAAATTAGCGGAGATTTTTCACAGAGATCTGTACAATAGACAGCACAACCCACGACCTTAATAAATGAACTAGAAGTAACCCAGATGACACCCCACCAGTAATGATAGTAGTCAGAAAAGCCTTGGAGTGTATGCAAAGAGGCAAAGCTTCTGGTGATGATCAAGTAACATCAGACCTGGTGAAAGATGGAGGACTGGTTGTGTTACAAAACTAGCGGCCCAGTTTATGAGGGGTATCCTGACGGGAAGAGTACCAGCATCTTGGAAGAATGCTAACATCACCCTAATACATAAGAAAGGCAATGGCAAGGACTTGAATAATTACATGCCGATCAGCTTGCTCTGCGTAGTAATAAAGCTATTTACAAACGTAATGGCTAACAGAATTAACACATTAGAATTCATTCAACCAAAGAAACAATCAGGATTTCTAATAGGCTACTCAACTATTGGCCACGTTCATACCATCAATCAGGTAATAGAGAAATGCTCAGAATATAGCCAACATCTATACATAGCCTTCACATATTACGAGAAGGCGTTTGATTCACTAGAAATATCAGCAGTCACGCAGGCACTGCGGAATCAGGGCATCGATGAAGCATATAAAGGCATCCTGGAAGTAATCTACAGGGGATCACCTGCTACAAAAATGCTTCATAAAGAAAGCCCCAGAATACCAATCAAGAAGGGTGTAAAGCAGGGTGATACTCTCTCCCCAATGGTATTCACCGCGTTCTTCAAGGAGGCTTTCAGAGGCCTAGAATGAGAACAGTTAGGCATAAGAGTTTATAGAGTATACCTTAGTAACCTTCGCTTCGCCGATGACATTGAATTGCTTAGTCCCTCAGGGAAATAATTGAAATTCATGATTACGGAGTTAGACAAAGAGAGCAGAAAAGTACGTCTTAAATTTAATCTGCAGAAAATGAAAGTAATGTACAACAACCTCGAAAGAGAACAGCGCTTCAGGATAGGTATTAGTGCACTTCAAGTTGTAAAAGACTATATCTATTTAGGACAGGTACAAACCACGGAGCCGAACCACGAGACCGAAGTATTAGAAGTAGTAGTAGAAAACTTTATTATGTACAAAATTCAGGCAGGCTTGAACTCCAGTGCTCCGGACGAGGCTGAAGAAAATAGAAGAATAAGAATGGGGTGGAGTACATTTGGCAAGCACTCTCATGTCATGACAGGTAGATTGCCACTTTCCTTCAAGAGGAAAGTATATACAGCTGTATTTTGCCAGTACTTAGCTACGGAGCAGGAACCTGAAGACTTACAAAGAGGGTTCAGCTTAAATTGAGGATGACGCAGCGAGCAATGGAAATGAAATTGGTAGGTGTAACCTAAGAGACAAGAAGAGAGCAGAGTGGATTAGGGAATGAACCGGTGTTAAGGATGTCATAGTTGAAGTCAAGAAGAGGAAATGGACATGGGCCGGAAATGTAGCACGTAGACAGGACAACCGCTGGTCATTAAGGGTAACTAACTGGATTCCTAGAGAAGGCAAGTGGGTTAGGGGAAGACAGAAGGTTAGGTGGGCAGATGAGATTAAGATGTTTCTGGGTATTTTATTTATTTTATTTAATACATACTGCAGACCACAGTTGTGGTCCTGGCAGGACGAGCACTTGAATAGCACAATAATACAAAAATAGCAATAGGGACAAAAAATGAAATGGCGGACATTGCATTGTCAATCCAACACACAAACAACAACACTAACTTGGCCGCATCAAGCACAGGACCGAGTTGACTGGCAGAACAAGGGAGAGGCCTTTGCCCTGCAGTGGACGTAGTCAGGATGATGATGTTGTTGATGATGATGATGATGATGATGATAATGATGATTGCCTAGCTAGGAATAGAACCATTTTGCACATTTATTGACTCAAAGAAAACTAGTATTTACAAAAACAGTGAGAAAATCAGTTAGACAAAATACTGATAATGGTGCGCCACTACGGTATAGCTGTCAACATGCTCAGCTGCTGACCCGAACGTTGCAAATTTGAACCCAGCCGGGGCTGTCACATTTCGGTGGAGACAATATGCTACAGGCCCGTATGTCCTGTGATGTTCTAACAATATCAGGAAATGCCAGCTGGTTGAAATTTCTTGAGCGCAACACT